TTTGATTGGACTATGCATAGACTCGTTAGTCCAGCCAAAATGTAACTCCATAATACCAGCCTAGTTCGGCAAGGGTGGAAACTGGACTTTTATAGTCTGTTAACTCTCTTGCCTCGGGAAGATGCTTAATGCCAAGCGCCAGGCAATGTAACAACAAGTTTGTTTGTTGCTCAACGCCACACTTGGCAATATATGAGATAGGAAGTCCTACGTAGGAGATATTTAGTCCTACGTTGGAGATATTTAGACAAAATAAAATTCACCGTGGCCCTACTACGCTTCCGTATTGTCGGACAATCCAGAGTCTGATATTGGGAACAATGGGGTACAATGACACGATATTTAACCAAGTCACCGGGCCTGACCACCCGATCCATTTGGTCGCCTGTCTTCAGCCCCCATGCTTGACGTAAAGGGCGACTCTGTTTGTTGTAAGAGGCGACTAACGGGATCGGGTGGTCAGGCTGGTTAGGCTGTCTGACTTGGTTGATGCATATAAATGCGTGGATCGATGCTCATGATGTCAATCACAGGATTGTCTGGTCCAGACTCGATTATTCAGAGACCACCGTCATATAGCTGGAATATTGCTGAGTGCGGCGTTAAACAACAAAAACAAAAATCATTATTATTCAGGATTGTAAACGGATTGTTGTCAATGATAGCGAACAGTGTACATCTTATTTACATGCTTGTGAAACATGGCCCAATAACTGTGATCTCTCTGTGTTTTTACTGATTATGTATATTTTAGTGCTGGTGCTGATAGAACTGTGACACACGACAGACTCTCAGTAGATTTTTCTCACTTAGTTAAAAAACCAGTTATGCATTATGCGAAGTTTTCTCAAGTAATTAAGCTCCAATTGTGTATTTGTGTTATTTGATAAACGTTTCGTGATACAAATATGGATGTACTTTTAGGATCTGTTAAGTCCAGAAAAATTAATCCTGGTGTAAGGATAAATTATTCATTGTGGAATACGTATTTTTCGAAAGTCCCCAGCTGATATTGTACAGCAATATGGAAGTATTGTCGTATTGATTGGAGGAGACTTCAATGCACGTACCGAAACGGATTTGGATTTTGTAGACGATGGTATCATGTCAGCACTGTATTGGGATTTTATGAGCGAATCTCTGAATATGACACGTTTTTCCTGTGATAAAACAGATGTGGCAAGAAGTGGATAGATTTAGGTTGGTTGGTTGGTTTGTTGTTTAACGCCGCACTCAGCAATATTCCAGCTATATGACGGCGGTCTGTAAATAATTGAGTCTGGCCCAGACAATCCAGTGATTGATATCATGAGCATCGGTCCACGCAATTTGGATCGATGACATGTATCAACCAAGTCAGCGAGCCTGACCACCCGATCCCGTTAGTCGCCTCTTACGACAAGCATTGTCACCTTTTACGGCAAGCATTGGTTGCTGAAGACCTATTCGACCCCGGAATCTCCCCGGTTCCCGTGTTTGTTCAGGTAAACTTGGACCACCTCCGTGGTCTTGTGGTAGAGCGTCCGCCCGGAGAGCGGAAGGTCCAGGGTTCGATCCCGGGCCGCGTCATACAAAAAGACGTTAAAATATTGTACTTGTTGTTACCCTGTCTGGCGCTCGGCATTAAGGGGCTTAAACAAGGACTGGTCGGCTCGGAGTCAGTATACTGTGTCTGAGTGGGGTATTCATGTTAAACTGCGGCATGGTATCTCAGTGAGCTAGCACTATAAATCGGCATCAGTCCGGACTAGTACAAGCAGCCATGCACGTCGCTATATAAGTGCAATAATCTTGGACGCGACGTTAAACCCAATTTCACCTCACCTCAGGTAAACTTGCCTTTGCATGTGTGACGAGTGTCACCGGTGGGGCAGGACACTCTCACTTTCTCGCAAACACCTTTCGTCATTACGATTTGACATGATATATACTACTCAAAAGAAGTTAAAGAACACCCATTTTTTTTCATATGGCTATGGTTAACCTGTCATGGCTGGTGGGAAGTGCATCACACAGCATTTCAATTGTAGGTGTTCTTTAACGTCTTTTGAGTAGTATATAAAGAAGAGTGTGCCAAGGTAACTCCATAGGGACAGAGGCAGGCTGTTGGGTTTGTTCTCACTTTGCCGGTAGGCAGGGAGGATTAAAACTAACGATCCGGTGAATTCAAAGGTATGATCTTCTTCACACTTGATCGAGGGATTAATTTCACTCAGGGTGAGTGGTGTGGTCCAAGCCTCGTAAATTACCAGTAAGCGAACTGGATTCATCTGTCAACTATTGTATCCTAAAGGGATGTCAGTAATTTATGTGTTCCATCAAATAAACAAATAAAGTGAGTACGATAATGCATATGAAAACTTTATATAATTACGTCCTCTCCGGTGTTATTGCAAAATGACAAATGCATAGGCCAACGTTAGTCGTGGTGGACAGAGTGTAGTGTACAATGGACATAAGTTCAGGGTTTACGTCAAGTTTTATTCATTATGTTTTTTGGACCTTTTGCGCCAATTCCATTTTGTGACATAATTAAAATTTTGCTCATTATATTTTCATTTTATACCTTATTTATTCATATATATCTATGTCATTTATGTCTGGACAATGACGCTCCCTTTGCCGGCATGCTGCGTGATTTATAGCTCCCAACAATACCTGCCGGCAAAGTGACAACACGGTTTAGCCGATTTAACACTATGCCAGCACGGTGGAGCACCAAGAATGGGCTTCACATGTTATTCCCGTATAGACACTGGATCTCGTATTGTCGGCATGACCAGGGAACTCTGAAAGACCTTCACTACTCCACACCCCCGTTAGAACAGAGTTATACAGTTTAATACTTCACGGCATATTTATCATTATTTATAAACCTCCAGTGATGCATTACAATTGTTACAACAGGTTGTTCTTTTCTCCGAAAATCCCTCAGCCCATGGGATTCTCGAGCTGTTCGCTTTTGACTGAGAACTTTCGAGTGCTACAATTGAAATTTCAGAATTAAAGTTATGTCATGTAAACAAAAAAACATCTTCATATCTGTCGGTTTATAAGTCAGATATAAACCTTCTATGGCTAACCGTGAAAATAATGCACTCTAGCGCAGGAAAAGCCCTACGGCCCGCGGGCTTTTCCTTTGCCGGACTGCATTATTTTCACGGATAGCTCGCGGAGGCGGTTTATATCCTATACATAAAGTACCTTTTGTTAACGAACCCGTGAAGATCCGGGTAAGCTCAACACTTTTCTACACAATAAGGCTAAGTCTGGTAGCTGAATCACAGGTCCATTGATTCTCGCAACCTCCTCATTTTAAAGGAGCTGGCTTAACGTCAGATCTTTGGATTCTTAATTCTCCCACATTTCAAAGCACACCCGTGCAGATCCAGGTTAGAATAGGTCTTCAGCCATCCATGCTTGTCATAAGAGGCAACCAACGGGGTCGGGTGTTCTGGCTCTCTGTAGGGTTGATGCATGTCATCGTATCCCAATTGCGAAGATCGATCCTTATGATGTCAATCACTGGATTGTCTGGTCCAGATTAGACTATTTAGAGAGAGCCGTCACATGGCTGGAATAATATTGAGTGCGACGTTAAACAACAAACAAACAAAACATTGATTTCAAATAATGTATGTTCTTAATGAAAGATTCTATTTTAAAGACGGACTTTAGATAGAATGCAAATAGAAGGATCATGTCTCAGCGTTTACGGGGCGGTCGGATAGCCTAGTGGTTAAAGCGTTCACTCGTCACGCCGAAAACCCGGGTTGGTTTCACGACATGGGTACAATGTGTGAAGCCCATTTCTGATGTCCCCCGCCGTGATATTGCTGGAATATTGCTAAAAGCGGCGTAGAGCCATACTCACTCACCCACTCACTCACTCAGCGTTTACAGATTACCAAACACATACAACTGACCAGACTGATCACAGTTAATCACAGAGATGGTAATGTATATGTTAATATCTGCATAAGAATCTTTACCATCAGTGTCAAAGACATATCAGTCACCTATCTATGCCATACACCAAAGGAAAAAATACCCGTGAAGATCCGGGGTAGAATAGATCTTCAGCAACCCATGCTTGCCGTTAAAGGCGACTATGCTTGTCGTAAAAGGCGACTAACGGGATCGGGTGGTCAGGCTCGCTGACTTGGTTGATGCATGTCATCGATCCCAATTGCGTGGATCGATGCTTATGATATTAATCACTGGATTGTCTGGTCCAGACTGGATTATTTACAGACAGCCGTCATATAGCTGGAATATTGCTGAGTGCGGCGTTAAACAACCAACCAACCAACCAACCCACCAACCAACCAACCAACCAAAGGAAAAAAGGGAACTGTGCTTCATGTAGGACGCAAATACATGATCCTTTATGAAGACATGGTTTATGATTTATGACTTAATGGTTGCTTATTATGTGTGTATGTGAGTGAGTGAGTGAGTGAGTGCGGAAAGATTGGAAACAAATAAGTTCTCTTTTCACAAAAGAAATTGCGTACTGTTTGATTTGCATTCTAGAAGTTGACAAATAAGTAAGAAAAACGTACAACTTCATGGATAACAACATCTAGTTTATTGCATATAGCGACGTTTCGATGTAGCTTCTTACACCGTTATATGCGATAAACTAGATGTTGTTATCCATGAAGTTGTACGTTTTTCATACTTATTTGTCAACTTCTAGAATGCAAATCAAACAGTACGCAATTTCTTTTGTGAAAGGAGGAGAACTTATTTGTTTCCATTCCTTCCGCACTCACTCACTCACTCACATACACACCCATAATAAGCAACCTTTAAGTATTCTTTGGATGACACTATTTCAGTTACAATATCTACATGCAAGTATATATGATCAATTACCCCTTTCCGCAACCATATCGAACATAAATTAATGTGAAGACGTAATGATCAATTCACATCCCTACAACTTTTAACACAAGTTGTGAGCAAAACATGTCAAACGTTATGAACGGGTTATGTCAAGGTAGTAGAATTTCACAGAAATATCTCTGATTCTCGTCGCGGCATCCAGTATCGTCAAACGTCAGATCCGATTCGATCTCTAAGCATTCTGAGCTTCCTTCCTTGTTGAATCCTTCCACCAGGGAGTTGTCCGACAGCCACCTCCACTCCCCGTCTTGATCCGCGTCCATGCCGCCTAGGAAGTACTCTCTGGTACCATCTGTGAACACATGTACACGGTAATTACATACCATGATCACAGCAGCAGCAGCAACAACAACAGCAGCAACAACAACAACAACAAAAACTGAAGCAGCTGCTACAACAGCAACACCAACAACTGCAGCAACACCAACAACAATACTAATAATCCATTTATATTGTGCATTTCCATGCTGGATTTCAAGCTTAAAACGCACCATTATTACCGCGGATCATTTCATTCACAGCTCCCTGGGGAGTATACAACAAAGCTGCGATCTCATACTTTCACGTTTGAGTAAATAGAATCATATTTCGAACAACATATCTTCTGATCATGCACTTTGATCATATACCGTAGTCATACATTCTTCACTCATACAGACAAGTAAGTTATTATATAGCATAATCATACACATTGATCACGACACAGATGGTAAATGATATACATCAACATCAAGCATTCACATATGCATACGCCACGATCATACACATTATCCCATCTATAAACACTGATCATATACACTGATCACACGTGTACACGCCGATCACACCTTTACACACTGATCATGCACGTTGATCACACCTGTACACACCGATCATTCACATTGATCACATCTGTACACACAAATCGTGCACGTTGATCACACCTGTACACACAGATCATGCATATAGAGCACACCTGTACACACAGATCATGCACGTTGATCAATCCTGTACACACCGCTCATGCATATAGATCACACCTGTACACATAGATCATGCACGTTGATCACACCTTTATACACCGCTCATGCATATTGATCACTTGTACACACTGATCATGCACGTTGATCACACCTGTACACACAGAACATGCACATTGATCACACCTGTACACACAGATCATGCACGTTGATAACACCTGTACACACCGATTATGCACGTTGATAACACCTGTACACACAGATCATGCACGTCAATCAATCCTGTACACACAGATCATGCACGTTGATTACACCTGTACAAACAGATCATGCACATTGATCACACCTGTACACACAGATCATGCACGTTGATCACACCTGTACACACAGATCATGCACGTTGATCAATCCTCTACACACAGATCATGCATATAGAGCACACCTGTACACACAGATCATGCACGTTGATCAATCCTGTACACACCGCTCATGCATATAGATCACACCTGTACACATAGATCATGCACGTTGATCAATCCTCTACACACAGATCATGCATATAGAGCACACCTGTACACACAGATCATGCACGTTGATCAATCCTGTACACACCGCTCATGCATATAGATCACACCTGTACACACAGATCATGCACGTTGATCAATCCTGTACACACCGCTCATGCATATAGATCACACCTGTACACACAGATCATGCACGTTGATCACACCTGTACACACAGATCATGCACGTTGATCAATCCTCTACACACAGATCATTCATATAGATCACACCTATACACACCGATCATACACATTGATCACTTGTACACACCGATCATACACATTGATCACACCTGCAGACACTGATCATGGACATTGATCACACCTGCAGACACTGATCATGGACATTGATCACACCTGCAGACAGTGATCATGGACATTGATCACACCTGCAGACAGTGATCATGGACATTGATCACACCCGCAGACACTGATCATGGACATTGATCACACCTGCAGACAGTGATCATGGACATTGATCACACCTGCAGACAGTGATCATGGACATTGATCACACCCGCAGACACTGATCATGGACATTGATCACACCTGCAGACAGTGATCATGGACATTGATCACACCTGCAGACAGTGATCATACACATTGATCACACCTGCAGACAGTGATCATGGACATTGATCACACCTGCAGACAGTGATCATGGACATTGATCACACCTGCAGACAGTGATCATGGACATTGATCACACCTGCAGACAGTGATCATGGACGTTGATCACACCTGCAGACACTGATCATGGACGTTGATCACACCTGCAGACACTGATCATGGACATTGATCACAGCCAGAAGCATGACGAGACGCCTCACGAATGTCATCCGTGAGAGTGAATGTGTGAGTTAAACTTTAAAGCCACTTCGGCAATATTTCAGCCATGTTGCGACTAAAATGTTATACATGACTAAGTTGTTAACATTTATGGAAAAGATTTCTGAGACTTTTGTAAAACGTTTGGTTTATATTAATTTTACTAAATGACAGGTTTTCTGATGAAGGAAGGGGGTTATACCTATGTTGGAGCAACAGGTGTTAGCTCACCAGATTATATTTGTGTGTCAGCATCTATTTACAAGTATGTAAAGGACTTTTAAGTTGCACTACTGAGTCAGATCATCTCTCCCTTATTTGCCTCTTTCTCATTATAGTTTAATGTAGTAGACACCCTAGAACAGGATTACAGCCTAGGTGAGGACTGGTGTAGATATATACGAAACACAGATAAGTGACTGTGAAGACTATATGAATAATTTTGAAAGTGAATTAGTGCAAGAAATGCTACATGAATTCATTAACTGTGTGAAAGTTGATATTGGTAACGCCGCAGAGAAGTAACGGCATATAATACAATAATGTGAAAGGAATATGAAAGTAAAGAGGTCCAAATATATAGGCTTTAAGAAACAACCAGCGAAAAGTATAAACTCTTGAATACATTCAGAAAGGTGTCTTCTCCGGAAAACTATAACTTATACAAGAACACTCGAAATAAATAAAAAAAATTATGTAAACAAAATCATTACAAAAGCATCACAAAAGCATCAGTTAATGCTGCGAATGATAGTAACTGTACAACATTTTGGAGAGTTGTTAAACGGTATCACGCTCGCAGGACTTTGGCATCGCTCCTGCAACTTGGGTAGATTATTAGGAATTGTTTAATCCAGTGTCAGTAGGGGATAAGGATTTCTCAAATGAAATCAGTGGGTTTCTTCAACAGCATCATGATAGCTTATGACCAGACTGACAAAATCAAGATGATATTTTATGGAGTGATTTTATGGAACAAGATGTTGTAAACGCTCTTCACCATTTAGGAGTGGAAAATCACCTGGTGATGATGGACTCCAGAATTTTACAAATCTGTTGAAAATGTTTTAACACAATATCTTGTCATTTTGATTAGTGCAGTGTTGTCCAGTGGACATTACCCAAAATTATGATCAACGGGAATAATAATGCCACTACATAAAAAAGGTAGTAAAAGTGATCCTAATAACTTTCTTAGTATATCACTACTCGATGTAATTGGTAAAAAAATTTCTAATGTATTGAATAAAAGACTAGAATGTTTCTTAGACTACGAAGACATAATTGGTGAATATCAAGATGGGTTTAAGAAAGATCATTCCACTATTGATAACATTTTCATTTTACAAGCTATTATACAAACGGATATCACTCGCAAAAAATGAAAAGTTTATTGCGCTTTTATTGATTTTCGAAAAGCATTTGATATGGTTAATAGGTTAAGTTTTTAATGTATATTTTATTGCAAAATGGTATTCACGGCAAGTATTTTTTCAATTATTCACAGTATGTGTAATGATGTTAAAGCAACTGTAACATATGATTATGGTAAGAAATGACTGAGTATTTTGATAATTCATGGGGGGTAAGACAAGGTTGTACTCCTGGTCCAGTACTGTTTATCTTTGTTTATCAAGAAATTTGTTAATCTTATAAATAAACTCAATGGTGGTGTTTTATATCAGAGGAAGTGTTAAATAGAATCGTCCGACGATTTAATACGTGTTGCAGGCAGTGTATTGACATTAACAAAAACGTCTTGATGAATTATATTTATACTCTTACAAATGGGGTATGGATATTGATACTGAGAAAAAAGAGTAAAAACATTGAGTTTAAAATGGGAGGCCCCTTTTAAAAAATGAGAAATGTTATGATTATGGTGAGCGTATGAAAACAGTTAATGCCTATACATATTTGGGACTTACTTTCACTCCGAAATTAATTTGGACTAAGGCCTGCAAAACGTTATGTGAGCAAGCAAAGCAAAGCACTTTGGTCAGTTAAATCGTTAATAAGACGTAATGATATTTCGGTTACGGAGCATTTTTTATATATGTTCTGATACATTTGTATGGTGCTGAGATTTGGGGATACCAAAAATGGAATAGTATTGAAATTGTTCATCGCAAATGTTGTAAATATTTACTTCACACATGCTACAGAACTGCAAATCCAGTGGCCTGTTGTGAATGTGGCAGGTATATACTTTATACTATTTATTATGTGAAATATTGGCTTAACTTAATGCTAATGAGTCCAAACAGATACCCATACCAGTGTTATAAAATGTTATTATCCATTGCTGATAGAAAACGTCCTAACTGGGCATCGCATATCAGACTTTTGCTAAGTCATTATTGGTTTTGGGGATGTATGGGTTGCACAAAGCGTTGGCACGGCAGAGTTGAAGATTGTTCGTTTCAAGATTCAATTATCCAACAATGATACAATCATTATGACAAGTTTTGCAAAATTTCTAATGTTTGTGTTCTCAACAAAAGAAAGTATCAATGAGATAACTCTTACATAAAAAATATAAATTTAACATATATTTTGTACAATGGTTCAATTGGCCTTTATACATCCTCATCAACAGACAGTATTTTGTGAGTATGGGAGACAGTATGACTTTTATATATATTTATTACTAATCATTTCATTTCAAGAGGCCATATCATGCAAGTCACTGTGTTGTATCGTTGGACAAAGTTATAAACCCCACTTGTCTGACTGATGTCTGTCACTCTGCCACACCTAGGCCCATGGCCGCCCAATCTGCCTGTTATGCGCCATGGGCCTGGTGACTGCAATTCGACTACAGCCCAAACTCATTGCGACGTGTTCATGCGTTGCTCCTTGTCGCATCATACCAACAGCGCGTTGTCTATGTTGTAGCGTTACTCTTGGCATATTATTTGTCACTGTCCAAGGGGTTGGCCTCCGTGGGGACCCGGGGTAGACAAGAATGTGTCCTCAGCACCCCATTGCTGGTCTAAGAGGCGACCGAATTGGGCAACCCTTGCCGTGGGTGACGCCTCTATGTCGGTGGAGGACGGAATTCTGGTGGTTGACGTCACTAGAGCCAGGAACCGGTGTTCCTTTTGCTCAACACACCACTTCGACCCTTACTTCGCCTGGACGGGTGGTAGAATTGGCCCGATTTCTATAAATCGGCTAGTCACGCCATGCCTTGTGAATGGAATACTTGATAATTTAGACACAGGTTTTGATCAGAATATATATGATGACCTTGATTATGTTAAATAAAATTGTGTCTAGAGTCCTATGCCAGAGGGCGGTGGCTCATGGGCTAATCTTGTGAGACGGACCGCTGAGTTCTGTATTTTTATAGGAAAATGCCATGAGCCGAACCAGCCAGACATTCCTCCTTCTACGACAGCTTTTCATGTCTATAATTCAACCTCTGTAGTCCTGGGGTGCGTTGCAAAGCGCCAATCGCTTGTAAGCGATGTACAGCGATTCACCTCACAACAGTGCGCTAACTTTCAGCCGCTTGCAAGCGAAACAATCGCTGGCTGAGGTCGCTTCGTTGTCAAACCAAAATGGCGGCTGACTTTGACAGCGGAAGAAGAAATTCTTGACTGGATCAACGAGGAAATGAGCAAAGGCAGCTGACACCCCATCATCCTCAGTCTGCTCCACATTTTCAAAGTAGTCATAAATTTCATCAGCTCGTCATCGAACCTCTTCTATTATGATCTTCATAACGTCAAGGCAATCAAGCGGTAGTTGCGCCGCCATTTTGGAAGAGTGCGCAAGCGCTTCCAACTGTTGCAGACCCTGGGATGAGCGATTAATTTGCTTTCTCTTAGCGATTCGTGGCTTGCAACGCGCCCCTGGTGTTTCAACTTCAACACCATCCTTGTTTACACTCTATGGTGGGTGGGGAGCAGGGTTGTCGAATACATTTCCTTTCACCATCGTGCTCTCTCCGACAGCCTGATATTCAGGCACTATATGACCAACTCCCTAAGCCCTGAGTTATCATGGGAGATTTGAATGATCATAACCAACTTTGGGGTAGTAGTGACACCAATTCTAAAGGAAAACTACTTGAGGATTTTTCCTTAAATAACGATTCATGCATTTGTTGGTTGGTTGGTTGGTTTGTTGTTTAACGCCGCACTCAGCAATATTCCAGCTATATGACGGCGGTCTGTAAATAATCGAGTCTGGACCAGAAAATCCAGTGATTAATATCATAAGTATCGATCCACGCAATTGGGATCGATGACATGCATCAACCAAGTCAGCGAGCCTGACCAAACGATCCCGTTAGTCGCCTTTTACGACAAGCATAGTCACCTTTTACGGCAAGCATGGGCATGCATTTGTAATGATAGTTCTCCTACATATCTACATCCTGCAACTGGTACCCACTCTTTTCTGGACTTGTCAGTTGCAGATTCTAATATACTTTATAGATTAATGGTCAGTCCAGAATGACCACAGTGGAAGTGACCATTTTCCTACCATTTTACAATCTGTGACACCATCTGATGTTTTTCCATCATCAAGATGGAATTTTGCCAAGGCAAAATGGGCTTTATATGAAGTCCTCTACACTAATCACCTAAAACCTGATGTTTTTCTTGATGTTCCCGACCCTATAAAAACCTTTTCCGATAAACTTAATAAAATAGCTGATGAATGTATTCCGAAGTCCTCTTCATATACGTAAGCCATGGTTCAACAATGATTGCAAACTAGCTTGGAAGGCAAGGCAAAATAAACGTCTATCTTGGCAAAATTATGTCTCCAAGATAAATTCATACCTAAGGTATGGAACATGATTCAGAAAATTAAAGGTTCTAAATCTAGTATCCACCACCTTCAAAATGGGAATGAATTATTAACCAATACTTCAGATATTGCTAATAAACTTGGTGAAACTCTTGCTCAACATTCTTCCTCCTCGAATTATGTCCCTAAATTCCAAAAATATCAAAAGCAGAAAGAAAAGAAACCTTGGGCAAGCTCATGATGCAGCTACAGGGTCTGATATTATACATTATCAGCTCTTAAAACATTTACCACAATCATGCTTTGAAACCCTTTTGACAATATTTGATGAACTTTGGACGTCAGGAGGATTTCCGTCTTCATGACGAGAAGCTTTAATTGTTCCAAAACCAAAACCTGGACGTGATTACACTGGTCCTTCAAATTATCGACTATTTCATTGACCAGCTGTGTTTGCAAACTATGGAACGCATGGTCAATAATAGATTGACATGGTACTCGGAATCAAATGATTTAATAACCAATATTCAATATGGTTTTCGTAAAACTCGCAGTACCACTGACAATTTAGTTCGATTGGAGTCATTCGCTAAGAATGCCATTATAAACAAACAACATGCAGTGTCTATCTTTTCCCGATTTAGAAAAAAAACATATCACAGTACATTGAAGCACGGTATTTTAAAAGACTTACATGACTTTGGGTTGCGAGGCCGTTTGCCTCAATTTATATCCAAATTTATATCAGTCAGACAATCTCAAGTTCGCGGGGGTTCAACCCTCAGCTGTCTGATCATTATAATCAGGATCAGTGTGTCCCACACGGCAGTATTTATCTGTTAAATTCCCCAGCATAAAAATATGTAGTCTTTCCAACGTTTTAAACGATTCAATTGATGGATCACATTTTGTGGATGATTTTAACATATCATGTCGTGGTAAAAACATGCCTACCACTGAATGACAATTATAACTGTGTGTAAATAAGATAAATAAATGGTCGTTAGAAAATGGTTTTAAATTTTCAAAATCCAAAACAAATTGTATACATTTTTGTACGAAATACAAACCTGATTTAGTTTAAGATTGCACTCCGAATTGTTAAAGAGGCCATGTTCTTGGGAATTACTTTTGATCATCATTTAACCTTCTTACCACACATACAATATTTGAAAAATGAATGCCTGAAGTCCAATGACCTTCTGAATGTCGTTCAAATTCAAAGTGGGGAGGGGACAAGAAAACCTTCCTCCAAATGTACAGGGCACTTATCCGCTCTAAACTGTCCTCAGGCTATTAAAGATATACCCTGTAAGCATCCACTTTTAACTGAAATTATTGAATTATATAATAATATAGACTGGATTATATACTGGTCGTCGTCATAAAGCTGAACTATTGAGTGAGGTTACCACAATGTACAGGGGTCAATCATTGATTAATATTATTATAACGAATTGTAAGAGCTATTTAAATAGCATGTATGGCTTATTCAACGACATTGTATTGTACATCCTGTAATACAGCGACAGGGTACAAGTTGGTGTGTATTCGGATGAAATGTTCATGTGCACATACAAACGTGTATGCACTCGTGAGAGGTGTGATAACCCTATACATACGTGTTACAATTAACACGAAACGTATCACCCTTCATTGATTTATCGACACCTACGTGTCATAAGGCCAACGGGTGTGTTGTCCTGTCCTGTCCTGACATATTGACGTACTAGAAATAAGAGCACTAACACTCCTTCTGACTACGTGGTCCAATCGATAGGGACTGTCAGCACCTCAGCACCACAGTCAATAAAACTGCAAGGACTTCATATTTTGACAGCATCTGAAGGAGACTCTCGACGAGTTTGTATTTTCAATGTGTAAGCGACGTTCTCTTAATGGTACTTTTGTGACCTTATGGGTGAAAATCACATTTTGACTTGTCATTATATTTTAAAACTACAGCATCTTCGGAACATAAAAATACACTTCACAAGCTTCAAGTAATATTTTTAACAGAGATACATGGCATTACACGTTGCGATCTTGACGGAAGTAAGTTGATGTCAAACGTCTTTATGACGTCATAGCACAACTGTATCCAAGCACCCATAACGTCTCTCTTCTCCGCGTGGGTCAGGGGGCACGGGTGGCCCAGTCGTCTAAGGCGCCGCGATTCGCTGTGCAGAGTTGCGTCCCTTGGGCACGCAAGAAACCTATGACTGTGGGTTCGAATCCCGATTATGTTTCTAGATTTGTCAGCACCTTATCCGTGCTCGTGGATTTCACTGAAGTGGTAAACGTCTAGGACCTGCATTAATTCGGGCTTTCCTCCCACATTAAGCTGACACGCCGCGATATAACTGGAATACTGTTTAAACCTAACTCACTCACTGTTCGTTTTCGAATGCATTGAACACAACAAACGTCTAATACGGTTCCTAAATTATGAGTGGCAATGATGTAAAATCTTGGTCCCATTTGTTCCAAACTACTTAAAGCACGAGAATAGGAGTATCAAGACAGACAGTTATTTAAACATTGCAGAAGAACTTAACATCAGAAAGTCGTATGAGTGAATACATTTTTTACTTCAATTCCTATGTTCCTTCAATGTGACTTTTGGTACAAGCGCCAGGTCTTTGTCAAGTCACGTTAGCTGGTCTACAGTGTTGCAGAACTTAAGACCCGCTTACAATTACACATATGACGTTATCTTTAAAAAAGCCTGATGGTGTATTTCAGAAATATTATTCGTTTGAGCACTACTTAAAAGGAACAAATTAGAAACACAATGTATGCGGTGCGTCTTGCCTTCTGCCACAATGCGGTTGACGATATTCCGTTTAGCAGTTGTGTCCACCTTGGCTAGCTCTCCCCCCTCGCTGTGGCATACATCGCGTGCCTCCTCCCACAGCACTCTGGTGGTGTGGACCTTGTAACAGAAATACGCCTCGTTGTCGAAAGTGTAGCCTGATGTCGCCGCGCACGCTGCAACAAAGAACATGCGAGATTGTTAAAAAAAACATATGACGGATGTGACAAATATAACAAAGAATCTGAAAAACGCTATTTGTGGTATACGGTAAAATACAGACTTATGTGTTCACTTCAACAAATGCAACACATTTAAGGGGTCGACCATGTGAGTGACTTGGGAATGACCCCTTAAATTGACAATTTTTATTCTTCTATCTACTTCATTGATTGAGCGTTACGGGACATGAACGATTGCCTCTATTTCCTGGCGCTCGGCATTGAGACAATAAATTGTGGTCGGCTTGAAGAAAGTTTTGTTTGTTTGTTTGTTTGTTTATTTGTTGTTTAAGCCACACTCAGCGATATTCAAGCAATCTGTAGATAATCGAGTCTGGACCAGACAATAAGGTGATTGACGTCATTGGTATACGATGACATGCATCAACCAAGTCAGCGAGCCTGACCACCCGATCCCGTTAGTCGCCTACTACGACAAGTATTGTCGCCTTTTACGACAAGCATGGGTTGCTGAAGACTTATCCTACCCCGGAACTTCGCGGGTCGCTTGGAGAAAGTACACATGTGTTCATCAAATAGGGTCTGCAAGCCAACAGGTAAACCGATTTATGAAATAATACCAATAGTCCACTCCATACGGATGTAAGAGAACTATAAAATGACCATAAATATCTACACATATGCAAGGTGAGTAAAACTATATTACATGCATAGACATTAAAACATATCAAGACATTTGACAACTTCATATGAAGGCCTACTCATGACGTCATTTGTCTTTTCTAAGTTTACAGTTAACTTCCAATCAACAGTGTAATCAGTCAAAATGTTTAATTGGTTCTGAAGACCTGAGACTGAGTGTGATGTAAGAATAACATCATCAGCAAACAATAATAAGAACAATTCTAAAATATCCGGACATAATTTGACCCTGTGTTTGCCACTATTCACTATTTCTATACACAATTCGTTAATAAAGAATGAAAATAGAACGGGACTTAATACGCATCCTTGTTTCAAGCCAAGCGGACAATCAAAAAAGTCAGTGAAATCACCTTTACAGCGCGCACACGCCCTGACATTAGAGTACATACTTTTAAGAATCAGGTACATTTTGCCCCCTAATCCAGCTCTTCTAAGGCACACCCACAGTTTATGACGATTCACAGAATCAAAAGCCTTCCGGAAATCAACAAAAGCTACATAGAGTTTTCACCCACGTTTCATCAAATATTTTTCTATAATTGCATTTAATGTAAAAATATGATCTGTAGTCGAATAGTGTTTTCTAAACCCGGCCTGATGTTCTGGAATTCTATCCCTCATATTGGCCCATAACGTTAGTCTGTTGTTTAATATACTCGAAAATACTTTCCCCAAAATACTGTTTAATGTTATACATCTATAATTATCTGGATTGCTAGCATCTCCTTTCTTATGAATAGGTATAACAATGTCCTTCGACCACGAACTTGGAAATACGCCTGAACGAAAAATCATATTAAACAATTCTGTAAGATAGGGCAAAATGATCTCCCTTGATGATTGCAGCATTTCAGCAAGAATATTATCCAATCCCGGGGATTTACGTTTTTTAAGTGACTGAATTGCTGTCAGTATCTCATGACGTTGAATATCAGATTCAAGGATTTCCCGATCTATTTCAGAAAAGAAATCATCTTCATTTGTAGGACCATATATGTCATCAAAAAGCGTATGATCAAATACGTCATTTGTTGAAAATACTTCTTTAAAATGAATTGCCCATTCAGCTTTTGAAATGCTACAAGCAGGGATGTTTCTCATGTTAATGGATCGAACCTCTTTCCAAAATTTCTTAGCATTACCCATTGCATTACACAGCTGTCCAATTCTATTGTGTCGTATCTTGTTCTTATATAACCTGATTTCGTACTTATATCGATTTCTTAAGGAACAGTAACTATTTCTGTTTTCAGCAGACTTGTTACTTATAAATTTCCGTAGTGCTCGCCTCGTAGCACGTTTTGCCTGCCTACATTCAATGCTATAACGTCTGTTAATCATGTAGCCATTCTTAGAGCATAAGGCTTTCTTCATGCAACTGGCGGAATTCAGTGAATAGTCTACGAAGCTAGACAAAGACCTATCTATATCAACATGTGGAAGTTCTATTAATTCAGTCAGATTAAGACAGCTCTTGAGATTATCCAAGTAACGAGATTCGTGAAAATCATTCAAAACATATTTGACAAGAGGCTGGTCACTACACTGGTCAAGACTGTTACTTGTTGGTTTTATGTGACAAGATAATTCAAGAGGAAAATGGTCAGAGACGGGGTTTTCCAAAATACATAATGAGGAAATATGATGGAAGAAATCAACTGAACAAATGAAATAATCATTAACGCTATTTCCCTTGTGGCTTACAAATGTAAATTCTCCGTGCAAATCCCCATTCACACGCCCATTAACTATGCACAGATTAAATACATTGCAAACGTTCAATAAAAGTTGACCAAAACTATTTACAATCGAGTCTACTGACGTCCTATCTGAAATAGGGACACTTTCCTCTGGAAAGGGATCACCTCTATTATTAATACTATCTGAATCATAGTCACTGAAGTTATTTTTGTTTCCACATCGGGAATTGAGGTCACCACACAGAAGAACATGACAATTAGCAATATCTGATACATGATCTATAAGAACAGACTCTAACTGATCAAGAGCACAAACAGAGTCCTTATGTCGGAAGTATGTTGACCCTTCAGGTGGTATGTAAGCACAAATCAATAAAATATCACATGTGCTGTCCAGTATACTTCGTGAGAGTCTAAAACACAACAAGTTGTCAACATTAACAGCTATTGGATGACATAGTCTTAGTAGTTCATGTTTTATACCGACACATACCCCGCCACAAGAACGTCCGGAGCTGGATAAACTAATTGCACTTGAATAAAATAAGCTATACCCTGCGATCCAAAGTTCAGGTATTCTATCGACAACAAAAGTTTCAGTGAGACAGAATATATCAAAGGTCCGAAGATATGATAGGAAATCCTAATCAGAGTACTTGCTATAAAGACCGTTTACATTCCACGATAATATGCGGAACAAAGATAATACCGCATCGTCGTCACTGCATGGATTCACAGAAGCGTCCGTACACTCACCGGTGTAGTTGCTATTTGATACATCTGAAATTTGGCCTTGGCCCCCATCCTATCTGTCACCTCTCTCACTTGATAGGGTTCTCACACCGCGTTGTTGCAGGCGACGTACAGATCTGTTTCTTGCTGGTGTTGTGGGGACATCCTGACGTGAACGGAAGGACGCGTATCAGGAACCGTCACGAGATTCCCCTGCTTGTAATAGCCACGGACACCAGTTCCCTCCAGTCCTTTGAGTCGTCTGCGTTGTCTCATCGTCAGGTCGCTTGCGATATTGAATCCTGCTTCTTTAAATGATGGTCTTGCTTTCAACGTGTAGACTTTATCAATGGATTCCTGGAAATTCGCGATAAGAGGTCTGGGTCTAGTAGAGTCTTGACGTTTAGTCCCAAGTCTGTGTGCGCGGTTGATATCACACTTTTGCCACGTCTTTGTTTTCACATGTTCATTCAAGAGAGAGATAATAATATCTTTCGATTTTTCAGACATTTTCAACCTCTGGAATGCCGTGAAAGATCATATTGTCACGTCTATTGTATGCTTCTAGTTTGTCAAGTTCATCCTCAACATCACTGTACCTGTTCTGGATAACGTCTACTTTTTCTGTCAAAGCATCGATATCGTCATACATTATGCCACTATGCTTCTTTAGTAGGTCAACATCTGTCTCTGTCGCAGTTACCCGACCTTCTAGATGCAAATATTTGTCGTTGAGTGTTCTAATTTCAGATTTCATTTCTGCCATTTCATTACTTAATTCAGTTTTCACATGACGGAGTTCGGACAGGATGGAGTCACGTACCTGGTCGAGTTTTGTCGGCCCCGGGTTCATCTCGATGTCGCCTGAACAATTGAGCATACTGGTCACAACTTCCGCCGGCGGATGACTACTTCCCAGTGTGAATGCATCAAATGCAAGGACTTTTGGGTGGAGCGTGATGTTACACTGCACTCAAATCTGGTTACGTCATCATCACAACAGGCTTCGCAAAATAAGTTCTCAGCACCGAATAATCTTAAAAATTCAAACTTTTCTTGCAGAATTTGCATGAGGGCAAACGCAGAGAGTAAGTGTGTTGTAAATACGAATAAACATACAAAAAAAAACTCTCAGGTTTGTATCAGATCCATGTACAAACTCGTGTACCTGTCATGAGCGAGTTCAACTTGGCGTGTCCCTCGAGGTTGCATAAAGGTGCCGATCCGAGCTCTGTACAAAGCGATCGAGATCATAGTAATGTTTGATGGTATAAGAGTCACCTTCAGATGCAGTTAGACGAGATCGAGGCTTGTAGATGCGGAGTTATTACACAAAATACTTCACTGGATCATTCGAGCTCTGAAGAGAGCGTCCATACTCGCCAAGGGCAGATAACTCATCTCGTAAATGGTCAACCTTCTGAATGCATCTACAAGGGTCAATCGTTTACCTCTCCGTCGGTCCATCAGCATCCGATTATGAATATGGAACAAGTTGAAATAGCTCTCGTCGCCTCCTTGACCAATCATGTGGCTGCCAACGACACATTTTCGAGGCCACTGACGTCCATTACGCCGATGTTGATGGGTGAAGGCCATTCCGCGTTGGGGTCGGTGTGCCCGAATTCCTGCAGCGCATGATCGTCTTCACACTGTGTCTTTTAATGTGTTGTCCCAGCCCTCATAACGTCTGGGCTCTGACGTCACCGGAAGGAAGTGGTTGCGCACATGAGACGTGCGCAGATGGAGGTCACTTGTAGGCTACTGCTTCGTGGCCTGTTCCTTTTGTTCACAGTATGATGGTGTCACTGAAATAGGCCGACAATGTACAGTCGGCTGCACCGGACCTGTGTAGCCTCTATCAGCGCACGGTAAAACTAAGTCACAAATAATTGCAAATGCTGAAAGGTTTGACAATCGTACCAGATCTTATGAACCTAACCATAAGGCGATAATATTCATGTACTGAAGATGTGTTATATATATGTTGATAGATCAACGGCCCGTCCGACAATAGTGAGTGAGCTGTGTTTTAAGTGGCTTTGACAGTATTTCAATGATATCACCCCAGGTAACTAAGCTGGAAGGAAATCACTGAAAATCAGAGATGGCATCAGGTGTCAGCACTCAAATAATATTTCTTCATGGTTTTGTAATTTTAAATATTATTTGATTTAAAACTTTTAAAATTAAAAAATATAATACACAACTGTTGTTTGGTATCTCATACATTATGTAAAATCCATTAAAAAAAATCTGGAACACAAATTGACAACATTTCAAACATGGCAGGGGTCATATGGTTTCAAATTCATTTCTTTCCCGACTTCATTTAACCAATTTATTTTACCCAACTGCAGACTGGTGCAGGATTTTGTGCTGGTTAAATAGAATTTGACATAACCAAATTGAACAACGTTTCTTTCAGTTTTCAATGACATAAAATGCAAAGTCGGTAAACTTTCTATTGCCGCGGTCATAACTTATATAATGAAACTCTTCACTCATAGTTTACCTGAACTATACAGACTGGAGCCTGGGGCGTCTGTTAACGTCATGTCCTCAGGCAGAGCAGAATGACATGTGCATTTTCCTGTTAACGCTGAAAACACACTGGTTACAGCTCCCTTCTCGACGTCACATAAGCAAATACAGGCTAATTTGCTCGGCAGTATTTCCGATCTCACGATGAAGTCATCCGCAGTTTTTCCATAAGCAGACCTACGGTAGGAAAGTTTTTTCAAACTGATTCCCGTGGAGTTGGTACATTGCACAAATGTCAGTACCGCTAATGTCAGAAGGTACATGTCGAGACGTAACGCCATACGTGGCACTTGTGTTCCTTCGAACTAGAGCATGGGGCCTGAATGTGGCCTCAGTATTATACCTATGTGTTCAATATCCGTAGAAATATTGTGCGGTGCCAGTCTAGAGTGCCTTCGCTGAAGCGTATTGATCCAGTGGATTTAGATACAATCTATTGTCAGGATTGATCACAAACTAATCCCAAATCAATTCAGTAATTGAAAAAAAACACGTAGACATTATTAACTGATCCATTGCTTGTCGAGGGTGGCCCGGAAACCAACAGTCCTGACCAACATTTAGAAGCACGGTAATGGGAGTGGTATGAAACAGGGATAAAATGAAACACATGCTCGCTACTCATGTGAGTGACTTCGTCCAAAGTAATCGAATGTTGAGCCACAGTGTTACTGTTAACGTTATACACACATAAACAAGCAATCGACGTTCCTAAATTATGCATGGTGAGTGATTGGAAAGGTATTTTGAAATCCGATCTCAATTGGTTCACGGAGTGTTATTGTTTCACCCTTGGGAGGACCCACTCTCATGAAAGAGGAGTGAGCGGGTGAGTGAGTTTTGGGCAGTATTCAGTCATATCACGACGTGTCAGCTTGGTGTTGGAGAAACGTCCGAAGTAGGTGAAATTAAACAACACAGGTACAGTTGACAAACCTCGAAACGTAATCCGGGCGAATCTTGGAATCGATCATAAGAAATCTTCCTGGCACGCCTATGCATAGTGAATTGCGCGCATTTGACGATTCGTATCCCCTCTTCTGGCAAACGTATGAGCTTCTGTCTTTTACCTTGAAAGCTCGGAATAAGCCAACATAAATCAGAGTTATATTTTTTATAGTCAACGTAAAAAATCAGGCAATTTGTCTGAAAAAATGTCAGTCAGTATGTACATTGCCTGAGTGAATCAGTTAATACTGGCTGACTTGTTCAGTCAATATACATATTTGCTGATTACATTATATTAATTGTAGGGGCGGTCGGGTAGCCTAGTGGTTAAATCGTTCGCTCGTCACGCCGAAGGCCCGGGTTCGATTCCCGACATGGGTACAATGTGTGAAGCCCATTTCTGGTGTCCCCCGCCGTGATATTGCTGGAATACTGCTAAATGCGGCGTAAAACCATACTCACTCACTATTAATTGTAACATATATACACATGAGCATAAATTAAGCACCAGTTTATTCAAAATCAATTCCGAAACATAATGACAAACCCTGAACTAAACACAATCGAACACCGTTGGGGTGGCAAAATCGTCAAATGACGGTCGAAAATACATCCTAAGAACTTGACCTGTTTCACAATCTTAATTGGCGTGCCATCTTAATATAGTTAGGTGTCTTTATGGGGCGAATGTTTTCGACGGGAATGTATACAACAGGTCTTGTTCAGTGAATACTTAAAGCCAAGCGACCACTTATAAAATTTATAAGGACACAACGGTAGTTGTCTTTCAATGGTTTGCATATTTCTACCACGACATGAAATATTAAAATCATTAAAACAATGACCTTTCAATTGAGAGATTTAATACTTTTGATATGCTATGAACGTTTATACTGAACAAGGTAACAGACAAAAAACTGCCTTGTGGCACCTCCTGATCCTAATTATAATGATCAGACTTGGTTGATCCAACACTAACTTGAAATTGACTGTCTTTAAAAAACTGTTTTTTTAAAGTGAGACAAACGGCCTCTCAAACCAAAGTAATGTAAATAATTTAAAATACCATGTTTCCGTGTTATATCATGGACTTTTTCTACGTCGAATAAGACCGATAGAGTATTTACAATGGTTATTGACAATGGAATGTTTAATGAATGATTCTTAATGAACCAAATGGTCAATAGTACTTCTAATTTTGCGGAAACCACATTGAATAGTAGTAATTAGATCATTGGTTTCTAAAAACACTCTAGTCGATTATTGACCATACATTCCATGTTTTTTTCACAAGCAACTAGTAAACGAAATAGGTCGATAGTCAGATGGATCTGTATGATCTCGGCCAGGTTTTAGTAAAGGGACAACAATGCAATTGTGCCACGAAGGAGGAAAGTGTACGCCGAGCCTTGGCACTAATTAGTTTTACAGTATTCAAAGTATGAACTGAAGGATGACCGCGAAAGTATTTTTCTGCCTTCTTCCTACACATCAAAACCCGTGAAGATTCCGGGGTAGAATAGGTTTTCAGCAACCCATGCTTGTCGTAAAAGGCGACTATGCTTGTCGTAAAACGCGACTAACGGGATCGGGTGGTCAGGCTCGCTGACTTGGTTGATGCATGTCATCGATTCCAATTGCGTGGATCGATGTCCATGATGTAAATCACTGGATTGTCTGGTCCAGACTCGATTATTTACAGACCGCCGTCATATAGCTGGAATATTGCTGAGTGCGGCGTAAAACAACAAACCAAACCAAAAAATACTACACATCATGAAAAGAAAGTCGAACTGCAACAGCTTGGAGGTTGTATTTTAGGAGATACAGGGCTATGGATTAAACCTTGCCTCACCAAAACAGAAGCGCCACCGGTGGCTCTATCACCTGGAGGTGAAAATGAATGATTGACAAATATCAAATTTATCCGTATTTTTCAGGTATGTCGTTTGTTAACTACAGGCTGATGGTTTAAAATCTTGTGATGATGATGGTAGATCATTAAAATTCGTCTGAAATTTCATTCATTTGTATTAAAGTAATAGCTTTGCTCAGGGAGGTTCAATCTTGTGAAGGAGTGACGTCCAAGTCAAGTGGTTCAAACAGATTTTGAACCGTCACAGGAGTTGCCAAAGGAGAAGGCACCTTAAAATTCAAATGTAGACCAAGCAGATTGATTGTGTTATTTTCAGGCCATTACAATGGACTCTCTACAACAGCGTTCTGTTTCTTTGGTGTTAAACGTCACACTATGTCAGCGATATTCAAGCTATATGACGTGGGTCTGTAAATGATCGAATCTGAATCAGACAGTCCAGTGACTGACATTGTGATCGTCGATGCAATGGTAAACGATGACCTGCATCAACCAAGTCGGCGAATCTGACCACCCGAAGATCATCTACGTGGTATATTGGACAGAGTATCTGCAAAGAGAGCAGAAGGTCGGGGGTTACATCCCCGGCCTTGTCATACCAAAAGACGTTGAAAGATTATACTTGTCGTTCCCCTGCCTGGCGCTCGGCATTAAGGGGCTAAAATAAAAGAAGGACTGATCGGCTTGGAGTGAGGGCACTGTGTCTGAGTTGGGTATTCACGTTTAACTGCGGCATGATACCTCAGCACTATAAAATCGGCATTAGTCCGGACTTGTCCAAACAGCAACACGCAGGCACGTCGCTAAATAAGTGAAGTAATCATGGAGTTAGCTCACCTCACATCCAGAACAACTTCACTCCGGCTATGCTATGTCCGGAAGCATTCGTAAAATCTGTAACAGAAGCAGGCAAACGGCAATTTGGAGTGGTGAGAATTTCGATTCCGAACCAAAATTGGTAAAGTTGTTTTCACTAAGGTGTCTGTCAATCGCACAACAACATTCCAGCATCCATATCAACACACACCCCATTCGTTTCGCCTTTACTCATAACTTCTGAAGTCTCCAATCCAAGCAACTGATCCCACGACAACCCATACAAGTTTAGCCACCCAACCCGCCGCCATTGTTGTCAGGGAGTTAAATGACTGTAATGTTGTTAACGAACCGGATGTGGATTTCTTTTTGCGATTTAATTGGACAATGCATAGACTCGTTAGTCGGGCTACAATATAACTCCGAAATCACCCTGTAACTCTTTCCAAAGCGGCGTTAAAACAAGCTCGCTCACATATTTTAAATCTACTAGCTGTAATTTATAAGCAGATGAACCTTGAACATCTGAAGTCTTGAGATATAAATAAGGACTGCTGTATTGGTTTTCAGTTAAAGGCGTAAAAGGCGACTATGCTTGTCGTAAGAGGCGACTAACGGGGTCGGGTGGTCAGGCTCGCTCACTTGGTTGATGCATGTCATCGATCCCAATTGTGTGGATCGATGCTTATGATATCAATCACTGGATTGCCTGGTCCAGACTCGATTATTTACAGACCGACGTCATATAGCTGGAATATTGGTGAGTGCAGCGTTAAACAACAAACCAATCAACCAACAAGCATTCGACGGCTTCCCCTTCCAGTGTAATGCACTCAAACCTACGGGTTGTATATTTTATTCCGAAGAAATGACTCCAAGACATGTGCATCCGTCTTTCCGTGCCTGTGAAGCTTCCGTAAAATGACACCAATTGCTGCGTCAGTTTAAGAGTCTCCCGGGCACCTCAACAAGTTGGCATTTGTTTTTTGTTTGTTTTTATTTTGTTTTGTTTATTCAACGCTGCACTCAGCAATATTCCAGCTACATGTATATGACGCCGTCTGTAAATAATCCAGTCTCGACCAGACAATCTAGTGATGGACATCATAAGCATCGATTTACGCAATTTGGACGCGATATTACATGCTTTCAACTAAGTAATCGAGCCTGATCACCCGATCCCCATGCTTACCGTAAAAGGCGATGCATGTCACCTATCCCAATTGCGTGGATCGATGCGCATGATATTAATCACTGGATTGTCTGGTCCAGACGCGATTATTTACAAACCGCCGTCATATAGCTGGAATATTGCTGAGAGCGGCGTTAAATAAGAAACCAACCAACCAACCAACTAACCAACCAACCAAAACATTATTGCCACATTACTAAACCAAAAAGAGCAAGGACTGTATTCAGACATACAAATTCGACCTTCAAGAAAGGTCACTGAAAACCTCATCAGAACAAAGACCATACCCTATCTGAGATGAGATGTACATATCTTTAATATACAGTAGATACGCTTTATGTTATCATGCAAAGAATATCTTTTTCCTTCTGTTGATGAGAAGGTCACTGAAGACTTTCCCCTGAATAGAAGAAATTAGCAACATAAACGTCTGCCAGAAGCAGAGTCATTTCGTCGATTCCGACTATATCATGAACACGTGTTTGTCAATCACTATCCAATAGGTCCAACCAGGTCGAACTTCGGGAGGTACACATTAGCAATACTATCAACATGGGACGATTAGGAGGTAGAGGCTGTGTCTTCAACGTAGTGCTATGTTTTCTGCTGATTTGAAGGCGCTAATTTGGAATCGTATACACAACGTGAACTTCTTGTATTAAATGTAGTGCCGTAAAATCTAGATGT